GCTGCTGTAAGCTACATCAATCACCAGCTAAGAGCTATATCAGCTTGGGGAAATAGATGGCAAGTAACATTTGCACCTGAGAAAACTCAAATAATGATGGTCTCTAGGCACCATGATGGTAATGCCGGTGCAGTAGTAAGTATGAATGGGAGGGTGTTGGTACCTGGGGAAAAAGTTGATATCCCTGGGGTGAAATATGACTCCAAACTGACCATGAAGAACCACGTTGTAAATGTTGCAAACAAGGCAGCATCTGCTTGACAGTAGGGGTTGCAAGATTCTGCATGAGGCACAAGTACGCTCACAACTAGAGTATGCTCCACTTTCTTGGTTTGCCTGCCCCCCCTCTCATCTGCGACTGCTTGAAAGAGTAGAGAACAGAGCAAGACGTCTCATCTCTCGCCTGGACCCATCCTGGATAGATCTGTCATTTCAGCACAGCCTTCAACACAGGAGGGATGTGGGTGGCCTTACTCATATGTACAAGGCCAATATTGTCAAAGTGTCACACTTGGATCCACTTCGAGGACAGCGAAAAGCAAGCTTCTATACCACAAAATGGGCAGAAAGCAGCAACTTCAATCTGGTTGTAACCTTCTCCAGAACATCACTTCATCTGAGATCATTTATCCCCAGGATGATTCGAGTCTGGAACACATTCGTACAGCATCATGATGGCAACGAGATAAAGTCATGTGATGAATGGTTTGAAAAACCGACAAGTTGAAGATTGAGACACTTATGCAGCATATGGGAATCTTTATTCAGGAAACGTTTCGCCACACAGTGGCTTCATCAGTCCAATACAAAGAGGAAGGCGTAAGGAGAGGAGGAGTAAGAGGTAATCAGTCCCTCAGCCTGGAGTCGATGTGTTCAGTCCATCAATCTTGTAGAATGTACAGCATAGGGCCGTAGACGTGGCTTATATACTGTAGTGAGGTGAGGTGAAGCAGGCGGAGGCGGGTTCATAGTGGTACCATCCACTAGTCGAAGTAGGTCTTCGTCCAAAGGTTGGACAAGTGTTGAAGAATTCTTTGTAACAAGATCCCATGATGCTGCAGTGTCAGACAGTTGTGATGAATGGTTTGAAAAACCGAGATAAAGTCAGTTGATCAAATGAAAATGCTGGCCCACAGATGGCTCCATCTTCATCCTGTTCCCTGCTTGTATGTTTCGTAACAATAAAAATACTTGTATGTTTCATAACAATAAAATGCTTTCAAATGAGCTGATGTAGGTAACAGCTCTTAGCTTAACAACAAAGTCAGGAATCCTTAATCTGTAAATAGCTTGTCAATAAAGCTAGGGATCCTTAACCTAACCTTGTCAAACCCTGTGTAAAAGAGAGAGAGAGAGAGAAGGATGAACCAGCAAGGCTACACCCCGTATTCACCTTGAGTAGTTCAGACATCGAGGGCATTACACATGAAAAGCCTCTCGGAGCTAGTGGTCACTTGATCCTGAGCTTCGAATACACTGATGAATTAAAATTGGAGAATGAAGCAGCCTGGGTAGGATAGAAGAAGCCAAATGACAAACGAGGGGACTACACAGGCATGAGGAATTTCCTGCATGAGGTGTAGTGGGAAAGAGAAAGAGGAGAGGCTCGTACCCAATGTCAACAGAAATAATGGGAAGAATAGAACGAGTCCTTGGTTTACCCAAAGGTGTGCAGAGGCCAAAACAATATGCTATTAGAGAATGAAAAATGTATAGAAGACAAAAGCCCCAGGAAAATGACGAGATTAGCAGAAGAGCCTGGAACGAATATGCATGGATAAGGAGGGAGGCCCAGTGACAATACGAGAATGATATAGCATCGAAAGCCAATTATGACCTGTTGCATTCAAAGAGTATGTAACATTTATTCAGAGCATGTGAACACACTCTTTAAAGGCTACCTCCCCAACCAGCAAACCAGGTAACTAAGGGTTGGACGATCGGGGCCCCATCGTCAGATCAGTTCTTAGGTTCAGCCAAACATATTGTGAATCTGGCAGTTGTGAAGGTGACGTGGATACCGCTCACATTCTCACCCTTGTCATTTTCACCCAGCTGCTGGTTGAGCACGGTTGCCTATTATGTCTCCAGGCTGTGTCTTTGCTTCTTGATTTACCGTGTTGTACACATACATTTACAACTGTATACAGTGTACATACTTGTAAATACTTATAATTGCACTTGGTGAAGGAAAATTTAATTCAGAGTCATTCAGCTGTGTTTGTTCTGCTCGTTACTCCCCTTTACACCCAGGATAACAGGCCTTTTTGTTCCTGCGTTGTAATATGACCCATATCACCCACAGCCACATCAGGAGGAAAACAACAGTCAAAGACCAGGTAGTTAGGTGGGGAAAGGGAAAGGGAGGAAAATACAAGAAATGCCAGAAGTAGTGAAAGAGCTAACACGAGAAAACACTCCACAACCCGGGAAAGGAAAAGGTATCCCATCAAGTACTTACACACTACATACAACCCACAGGAGGTGAAGAGGCTGCAAAGGTTAACTTGATCCTCAAACCGTTGGACCAAAAACAAAACTCTGGGGGTTCTGAAAGAGGGGCGAACTTTGTGTGTGCCATTAAAAAAAATTTTAAAAACCCTTCTATCAAACGGGGCAACTCCCTGGGTGGGGAAGAGGGCAAATGTAGCCCAGTTTTAAAAAACGGGGAGACAGACAGGTAAAATTTAAACTACTGCCATTATCAAAAACGGAAAGTATGAAAAAATCATGGAGAAGATTTTTATGCCCAAAACCAGCACGGTTTCGGGGAAGGGACACCCTGTCCATACCCCTACTGATTTTTGGAAACAGAAGTCAGGAGAGAGGGGGTGTGTGGCTGCATTTTTTTTTTAAGAAGGCTTTAAAATACAGTTCCCACAAAGATTATAAAAAAAACCCAGAGGAGCAGCATAAATACCGGGAAAGGCTAAGGAAGGCAATAACGATGACGGTACGTGACGTTCAGGGGGGGGGCCCTTGACGAGCGGGGTTCCCAAAAGGGGCCAGTCCCGGGCCCGGTGCTTTTTCTTTTTATGGGGAAACGTGAAGGGAAGGGTAAATTCAGAGGTGCCCTCTTTGCAGACGACTTTGAAGGAATGCGGTGATTCCCAACGGATGAGATCAGATGGGAATCAAGGGATCTAACGGCTCAACCGGTCTAACAACGGGTTTCCCTGAGTTTAACCCCCGTGCGCCTGAAAAAAGGGGAAAGAAAAGAAGACCAAAAGCAGGTCAGACGTAAAACCTTTTCAAGGATCGTTTTCGACAACCTCATTGGAAACGTTCAAGAACCAAAAAAACACAAGGTACGTCAGGAAACCCTATGGAAATGGAGCGAAGTTGGAACCCACATCTGGTAAAACACGTTTAAGAAATTGCAGAAAGTGTAAAGGTTGTAAAAGACTAGGTTCCGACTAAGGGGAAAAGTCCCTTTGAGGAGAAAGGGTTAAGGGAAAATCACCTGACAACATGAAGGGCAAGAGGGGGTGAGGAATGAAACGGGATATAAAAAACAGAGAATTGACAAAAGGGGGCAAGGGAGTATTTTTCAGATTTGGGACAGAACAACAAGGGGTCATAACTGGAAATTGAAAACCAACGATCACAGGGAGTTGGAATTTTTCTTCAGTCATAGATTGTCAGGAGTGAAAAAGGTCTAAAGAGGGTTGTGGAAGCAAAATCTAACATATCTTTAAGAAGAGGGAGATAAGCTTACGACAGGGAGAGAGAGTGACCTAATAGCGAGCAGTGAAGAGGCGGGGGAGGACTGTAAATCGACCCCTGCAACGACAATAGGTAAGAAGCCACACCAGGAACAGAAATAATTCCCCTAACAAAGCACAAAGTTTTGGAGTGTATATGAACAGGCAAAAAAAAATTTAGTTTAAACAAGCATCTCCACTGGGCTGAGTGATCACAACTTTGTAACGTTTGGAAAGAGTTTCAGCAAGACCTTGGACTGGGCATTCCCAAACAACACAAAAAGTCCCATTTGTTCCGTGTACGACAGGAACGACGGGCAGACAGATAGACAAGGGGTAACAACAAAAAGCGACTTCAGCAATAAAATTTTCCCGGAAGAAATTTTGCCCGTTCCGGCTTTTCCCTTCCTTCTGTTGGTCCCGCATCGGGCCGCCTTATGACGTTTTCCCTTTGGCGTCGCCATACACGTCTCCGTAGATAGTCGTTTAAATGCCATTAGGCCAGGGGAACCCTCCCCAATGACCCCTCCTCCTGACCCGTCCAGGTACGCCGTTCGATCCTCGGATTGAACCTTGCAATGCAAAGAGAAAAGAGGTGAAATTAAGTGGACCCCCCTGGGAACACGACTTGAAAAAAAACTTAAAGTTTTTCCGACACTTTCGAGGAAAAATATATTTGGTTTTGGTTTTATCTGAGAGCATTTGTTTAAATAATATTCAACTTAGTCCATCGAAAAACACGAATTTAATTGGATGATTTATTGTTCAGTTTAGACTTTGAAATAGGTTTTAGACTTACCCCAGTCGATCAGGGAGCAGGTCAAACCTTTGGGCTACTCAAAAAAGTCTATAGAAGCAGCCATGTGACCCAGGTCTGCAACACAGTCCTCAGACAGCCAGACATAACCTGGTCTTCTCACCACAATCTATCACACAGCAGCTCAGACCCCGGTCTACAAAAAACAGACTATAAGTCACTTATGATTCTGGTTTACTAACACAGTCTTCGACAGCAAATCTGACCCTGGGCTATAAATTAGAGTGTTGAGCAGCAAAAACATGGTCTGGACTCACCAGAGCCACAGACAGTCACTCATGTGACCCAGGGTTTCTCCACAGTTTACAGACAAAACCCCAACATGACCCTGGTCTACTTACCACAGCCTATCAGAATTCATCTCAAACCCGGGTTCAACACAGTCTATGACAGTCAGGGATCACCCAGGTCTTTAGCCACACCCTACCATGAAGTCAAATCATGACCAGACAGTCCCTGTAAGACCGTGGTCTACTCACCCCAGTCGGTCCAGACCAGGAGGTCTCTGGCCGGGTGTAGGAGAAGAGCTCTTGGCTTCTGCAGGTTGGTCCAGACAAGCGGCCTACGACACGACCTGCACCAACACAAGATGCGTCAGTCTAAGTCAGCCTACTCCATCACACTTCAGCCTACTCCGCAAACTCTAGCCTAACCCACCACACTCTAGCCTACTCCACCACACTCCAGCTTACTCCACCACACTCTAGCCTACTCCACCACACTCTAACCAACTCCACCACACTCTAGCCTACTCCACCACACTCTAGCCTACTCCACCACACTCCAGCCTACTCCACCACACTCTAGCCTACTCCACCACACTCTAGCCTACTCCACCACACACCAGCCTACTCCACCACACTATAACCAACTAAACCACACTCTAGCCTACTCCAACACACTCTAACCTACTCCACCACACTCCAGCTTACTCCACCACACACCACACTCTAGCCTATTTCTACGACACGACCTGCACCAACACAAGATGCGTCAGTCTAAGCCAGCCTACTCCATCACACTTCAGCCTATTCCATCACACTCCAGCCTACTCCATCACACTCCAGCCTACTCCACCACACTCAGTCTACTCCACCATACTCCAGCCTACTCAACCACACTCCAGCCTACTTCACCACACTCCAGCCTACTCCACCACACTCCAGCCTACACCATCACACTCCAGCCTACTCCAGCCTACTCCACCACACTCCAGTCTACTCCACGACACTCCAGCCTACTCCACCACACTCCAGCCTACTCCACCATACTCCAGCCTACTCCACCACTCTCCAGCCTACACTTACCAAACTCCAGCCTACTCCACCACGCTCATGCCAACTCCACAACACTCTAGCCAACTCCATCACACTCTACCCTACTCCACCACACTCTAGCCTACTCCACCACTCACTACTAGCCTACTCCCACCACACTCCAGCCTATTCCACCACACTCTAGCCCACTCCACCACACTCTAACCAACTCCACCACACTCTAGCCTACTCCACCACACTCTAGCCTACTCCACCGCACTCCAGCCTACTCCACCACACTCTAGCCTACTCCACCACACACCAGCCTATTCCACACCACACTATAACCACACCTAGCTATCACCACTCACCACTCACCACACTCAGTTCCAACACAACCTATTCTAACCTATCCACCAACACTCCAGCTTCCTCACCACCACCACCACACTCTAGCCTATTCTACTACAGCTACTCACACACGACCTGCACCAACACAAGATGCGTCAGTCTAAGCCAGCCTACTCCATCACACTTCAGCCTATTCCATCACACTCCAGCCTATTCCATCACACTCCAGCCTACTCCACACACATAATAGTCTACTCCACCATACTCCAGGTTACTCAACCACACTCCAGCCTACTTAACCACACTCCAGCCTATTCCACCACACTCCACCCTACTCCACCACACTCCAGCCTACTCCACAATACGCCACACTCTAGCCTACTTCACCAGACTCCAGCCTACTCCACCATACGCCAGCCTACTCCACCACACACCAGATTACTGCACTACACACCTACCTACTCACCGCACCTAAACCTACTCCACCCACCACCAGATTACTGCACTACACACCTACCTACTCCACCGCACCTAAACCCACTCCACCGCACTCTACCCTACTCCACCACACTCTAGCCTATACCACCACTCTCCAACATACTCCACCACGCTCGAGCATATTCCACCACTTTCTAGCCAACTCCACCACACTCTAGCCTACTCCACCACACTCCAGCCTAGTCCACCACGCTCCAGCCAACTCTACCACTCTCTAGCCAACTCCACCACACTGTAGCCTAATCCACCACGCTCTAGCCAAGTCCACCACACTCTAACCTATTCCACAACACTGAAGCCTATTCCATCACACTCTAGCCTACAACACCACACTCTAGCCTACTCCACCACACTCTAGCATACTCCACCACACTCTAGCCTACTCTACCGCACTCCAGCCTACTCCACCACGCTCTAGCATATTGCACCTCACTAGAGCCTAATCCACCACACTCCAGCCTACTCCACCGAACTCTAGCGTACTTCACCACACTCCACCCTACTCCACCACACACCAGCCTATTCCACCATACACCGGACTACTCCACTACACGCCAGCCTATTCCACCACACTCCAGTCTACTCCGCCACACACCAGTCTACTCCACTGCACATTAGTCTACTCCACGACACTCCAACCTACTCCACCACGCTCTACCCTACTCCACCACACTCTAGCCTACTCCACCACACTCCAGCCTACTCCGCAAACTCTAGTCTACCCACCATACTCTAGCCTACTCCACCACACTCCAGCCTACTCCACCACACTCTAGCCTATTCCACCACACTCTAACCAACTCCACCACACTCTAGTCTATTCCACAACACTGTAGCCTACTCCACCACACTCTAGTCTACTCCACCACACTTAAGCCTATTCCAACACACTCCAGCCTACTCCGCAAACTCTAGTCTACCCCACCATACTCTAGCCTACTCCACCACACTCTAGCCTATTCCACCACACTCTAGCCTAGTCCACCACACTACAGCCTACTCCACCGCGCTCCAGCCTACTCCACTACACAATAGATAACTCCACCACACTCTAACCTACTCCACCACACTTCAGCCTACTCCACCAAACTCTAGTCTAGTCTACCACACTCTAGCCTACTCCATTACATTCTAGCCTACTCCACCGCACTCTAGTCTACTCCACCACACACCAGCCTACTTCAACACACTCCAGTCTACACCACCACACTCTAGCCTCCTCCACCACACTCTAGCCTATTCCACCTCACTCTAGCCTACTCCACCATACTCTAGCATACTCTACCACACTCCAGCCTACTCCACCACACTCTAGCATATTCCACCACACTAGAGCCTAATCCACCACAATCCAGCCTACTCCACCGCACTCTAGCCTATTTCACCACACTCCACCCTACTCCACCACACACTGGATTACTCCAATACACACCAGCCTATTCCAACACACTCCATCCTACTCCGCCACACACCAGTCTACTCCACTGCACACTTGTCTACTCCACCACACTCCAGACTACTCCACAAAACTCTAGCCTACTCCACCACACTTTAGCCTATTCCACCAGACTCCAGCCTATTCTACCGCACTTTAGCCTACTTCACCAGACTCCAGCCTACTCCACCACACACCAGCCTTCTCACTACACACCACATTACTGCACTACACACCTACCTACTCCACCGCACTCTAACCTACTCCACAGCACTCTACCCTACTCCACCACACTAGCCTACACCCACACTCAGCCCAATCCACCACACTCTAGCCTACACCACCACACTCCAGCCTATTCCACACACTCTAGCCTGCTCCACCACACTCTAGCTACTTCACCAGACTCCAGCCTACTCACCATACACCAGCCTTCTCACTACACACCAGATTACTGCACTACACACCTACCTACTCCACCGCACTCTAACCTACTCCACAGCACTCTACCCTACTCCACCACACTCTAGCCTTGTCTACCACTCTCAACCTACTCCACACACTCTAGCCTACACCACCACACTCCAGCCTAATCCACCACACTCTAGCCTACTCCACCACACTCTAGCCTATTCCACCACACTCCAGCCTACTCCACCACACTCTAGACAACTCCACCACTAAGCCTATTACACCACACCTAACCTACTACCACACACTCTAGCCTACTCCACCACACTCTAGCCTACTCTACCCACTCCACCTACTCACCACGCTCTAGCATATTGCACCTCACTAGAGCCTAATCCACCACACTCCAGCCTACTTCACCTCACTCCACCCTACTCCACCACACTCTAGCCTATTCCACCACACTCCAGCCTACTCCACCACACTCTAGACTACTCCACCACACTCAAGCCTATTACACCACACTCTAACCTACTCCACCACACTCTAGCCTACTCCACCACACTCTAGCCTACTCTACCGCACTCCAACCTACTCCACCACGCTCTAGCATATTGCACCTCACTAGAGCCTATTCCACCACACTCCAGTCTACTCCGCCACACACGAGTCTACTCTACTGCACATTAGTCTACTCCACGACACTCCAACCTACTCCACCACGCTCTACCCTACTCCACCACACTCTAGCCTACTCCACCACACTCCTGCCTACTCCGCAAACTCTAGTCTACCCCACCATACTCTAGCCTACTCCACCACACTCCAACCTACTCCACCACACTCTAGCCTATTCCACCACACTCTAACCAACTCCACCACACTCTAGTCTATTCCACAACACTGTAGCCTACTCCACCACACTCTAGTCTACTCCACCACACTTCAGCCTATTCCAACACACTCCAGCCTACTCCGCAAAGTCTAGCCTACCCCACCACACTCTAGCCTACTCCACCACACTCCAGCCGACTCCACCACACTCTAGCCTATTCCACCACACTCTAACCAACTCCACCACACTCTAGTCTATTCCACAACAAAGCCAACTCTACCACTCTCTAGCCAACTCCACCACACTTTAGCCTACTCCACCACGGTCTAGCAAAGTCCACCACACTCTAGCCTATTCCACAACACTGTAGCCTACTCCACCACACTCTAGTCTACTCCCCCACACTTCAGCCTACTCCACCACACTCCAGCCTACTCCACTACACTCTAGCCTACTCCACCACGCTCTAGCCAAGTCCACCACACTCTAGCCTATTCCACAACACTCTAGCCTATTCCACAACACTCTAGCCTACACCACTACACTCTAGCCTACTCCACCACACTCTAGCCTACTGTACCACACTCCAGCCTACTCCACCACACTCTAGCATACTGCACCACTCTATAGCCGAATCCACCACACTCCAGCCTGCTCCACCGAACTTTAGCCTACTTCACCACACTCCACCATACACCAGCCTACTCTACCACACACCGGACTACTCCACTACACACCAGCCTATTCCATCACACTCCAGTCTACTCCGCCACACACCGGTCTACTCT